GTTGCTGTGAGCTGTGATGCCATAGCACTCTACCCAGGGTGACAGCTTGAGGCTCTGTCTCAAAAAAAAAAAAAATTTTTCTTTTGCTCACTTTGTTGCCCTTGGTAGAGTGCCGTGGCATCACACAGCTCACAGCAACCTCTAACTCCTAGGCTTAAGCGATTCTCTTGTCTCAGCCTGCCAAGTAGCTGGGACTACAGGCTCTCCCCACAACGCCTGGCTATTTATTGGTTGCAGTTCGGCTGGGCCCAGGTTTGAACCCGCCACCCTCGGTATATGGGGCTGGCACCCTACTCACTGAGCCACAGGTGCTGCACTTTTTTGCTGTTTTTTAAAAGCAGACTTTCACAAGATTTGTTATCAGTCTTACATAAATAAAAAGGAAACATTACTACTTAAGTTCAACCACTATAGTGTAGAGGGTGAGTACATTTTACAGGTGAGTACACTGAGGCCCAGAGCAGCTGTGAGACCTGTCACAAGCCACCTTGCCTATAGGAGGAAAAGTGGGGCCTGCTTTTCTTCAGAGTGAGCATGTTTATGAGATGTGGAAATCTGTTCTACTTTAGCCACATGCCTGAAAAGTGACTTGATGGTTTTGTTAGAATCAGAGTGGCCCAGTGTGCTCTCTCTTTCCAGGTACCAATGTTGAGGCCAACAGAGCTTCCAAGGAAGGGGAAAGCCCACATGGACCTGGCCAAGGAGGCCTCTGTCAGAATGGGCCAACATTGGAGCTCCCGGACCCGTCATTGTCTCTCGATCCCACTACAAGCCCAGTGGGTCCAGATGCCTCTCCAGGTGTGGCTGATTTCCATGACAACCTAAGGAAGTCTCAGGGACCTAGTGCTGAGGGCAGTGTTAGAAAAGAAGCTTTGCAGTCTCTCAGACTCAGTCTTCCTATGCAAGAAACGCAACTGTGTAAGCATCTGTTCTCCGCCGGGCTCTTTCCCTCCCTGTGTCAGAATCACCAGCCCCTGAGAGTCATGCCCTGAGCACTTGCTGTCTGAGCATGCCACCTCCCATTGCCATGTGCCATCCTAGTACTACAGTTAGTTGTTCGTTTAACAAGGTCGCTTCATTTTAAAGACTGATATTACATGCAGGAGTTGAGGTTCCTTTGCAGTGTAATGTTGGGAATGGTACTGAAGTTCTTGATCTAAAGGCCAGCTTTTGTGTCCTTTATCACCACATGGTGAGGAGCAAACTGTGCATGACCAGTTTACAGTTATGCTTGGAGGTTTCTTTGATGAATTACTTTATCTTTTTTTTTTTCGAGACAGAATCTTACTTTGTCACCGCTGGTAGAATACCCTGGCTCACAGCAACCTCTAACTCTTGGGCTCAAGCCATTGTTTTGCCTCAGCCTCCTAAGTAGCTGGGACTACAGGCACCTGCCACAATGCCTTTCTATTTTTAGAGATGGAGTCTCATTATAGCTCAAGCTGGTCTCCAACTCATGAGCTCAGGTGATCTGCCCACCTCACCCTTCCAAAGTGCTGGGATTACAGGCATGAGCCACAACATCTGGACTATTTTAACATTTTTTTAAGAGATGGGAGCTTGTCATATTGCCCAGGCTTATCTTGAATTCCTGGCCTCAGGTGATCCTTCCACCTCAGCTTCCTGGGATGAATTTCTTTTTTTTTTGAGACAGAGTTTCACTATGTCACCCTTGATAGAGTGCTATGGCATCACAGCTCATAGAAACCTCAAACTCTTAGGCTTAAGTGATTTTCTTGCCTCAGCCTCCCAAGTAGCTAGAACTACAGGTGCTCACCACAACACCAGCTTTTTTTTTTTTGTTATAGTTGTTATTGTTGTTTAGCAGGCCCAGGCTGAGTTTGAACCCAGCAGCCCCAGTGTTTCTGCCCAGTGCCCTAACCACTGAGCAACAGGCACCAAGTTAGTTTTTTTTTTGAGACATAGTCTTACTCTGTTGCCCCAGGCTAGAATGCTGTGGTGTCGTCATAGCTCACAGCAATCTCAGATTCCTGACCCCAACCATCCTCTTGCTTCAGCCTCCTGAGTTTCTGGGACTACAGGCCAATTTTTCTAGTTTTTTTTTTTTTTGAGACAGAGCCTCAAGCTGTCCCCCTGGGTAGAGTGCTATGGCATTACAGCTCACAGCAACCTCCAACTCCTGGGCTCAAGCAAGTCTCCTGCCTCCGCCTCCCAAGTAGCTGGGACTATAGGCGCCCGCCACAACGCCTGGCTATTTTTTGGTTGCAGCCGTCATTGTTGTTTGGCGGGTCCAGGCTGGGGATTCGAACCCGCCACCTTAGCTGTACATGGCTGGCACCTTAGCCGGTTAAGGTATAGGAGCCGAGCCCAATTTTTCTAGTTTTAGTAGAGATGGGGTCTTGTTCTTGCTCAGGCTAGTCTTAAACTACTGAGCTCAAATAATCCACCTACCTTGGCCTCCCAGAGTGCTAGGAGTACAGTGTGAGTCAACTGGGATGAATTATTTTAATAAGCATTTATTTTATGCTGATCTCAAGAAACTTAAAGATAATTCCCCATACTCTTGGCAGCCTGTGGACCCTAGAAACCCTGAGACCTTTTTCTAACCATATTTTTCGTGCATGCACAAACGTGTAATTATAAAATGAGCCTGTATCAGATGTGCTGCACTCACTCCTCATTTCCTCATGCTTCATGCTTGCTCACAGGACCCTTTGCAGGCCTCTTAAATATACTCAGATTTTTATTTTTTTATTTTTTTGAGACAGAGCCTCAAGCTGTCCCCCTGGGTAGAGTGCTATGGCATTACAGCTCACAGCAACCTCCAACTCCTGGGCTTAAGCAATTCTCTTGCCTCCGCCTCCCAAGTAGCTGGGACTACAGGGGGCCGCCACAATACCCGGCTATTTTTTATTACAGTTTGGCCAGGACCAGGTTTGAACCTGCCATCCTCAATATATGCAGCTGGCGCCCTCCCCACAGAGCCATAGGCAGCACCCGAGGATTTATTAACTTTTTATACATTTGTTCGACATTTGGACATTTCGGTGAACTCTCTCATATGTTTGCCCATTTTTATTTTGGATTAATTGCCTTTTTCTTCATGGACATTATTTTTTAAGGTTGTAAAGTGGTTTGGGGTTTTTTTGTTTTTGTTTTTTAGATGGAATCTCACTATGTCGCTGTTGGTAGAGTGCTGTGCTATCACAGCTCACAGCAACCTCAAACTCTGGGGCTTAAGCGATTCTCTTGCCTTAGCCTCCTGAGTAGCTGGGATTACAGGATTTTTTTTTTTTTGAGACGGAGTCTCACTGTGTTGCCCTGGGTAGAATGCCTTGGCATCATCATAGCTTATAGCAATCTCAATCTCTTAGGCTCAAAAGATCCTCTTGCCCCTGCCTCCCAAGTACTATAGGCACCTGCCACAATTCCTGGCTGGTTTTTCTATTTTTATTAGTGATGGGGGTCTCACTCTTGGTCAGGCTGGTCTGGAACTCCTGAGCTGGTCTAGAACACCTGCCTCAGCCTCCCAGAGTTCTAGGATTACAGGTATGAGCCACCCTTCCCAACCTTTTTGTTTGTTTTTGTTTTTTGAGACTGAGTCTCACTGTTTCCCAGGCTGGAGTGCAGTGATGTGGTCATAGTTCATCATAGGCTTGAGTTTCCTTGCCTCAGCCTCTGAGTAGCATGCACCACAATGTCCAAATATTTTTTTCATTTTTAGTAAAGATGAGAGTACTACTGTTTTGCCCAGGCTGGTCTCAAAGTCTTGGCATCAAGTGACTCTCCTGCCTTGACTCTCTAAATTGCTGTGATTGCAGGTATGAGCCACCTTACTCAGCCAGCAATGTGCTTCTAACCATTTCTAAAAACTAAAAAAAGACATTAAAAAAAAAAAACAACCTGAAATCAAACTGCATTTCACACATTTACCAAAAAAAAAAAAAGAAAATCCTGAAAACTAGTTGCCAGCATTTAACTTTAGAAAGATCACAGAAAAGTCTAGATTCGTAACCTGATAGCTTTGTGAGATCTGGTCCCAGGTGCCACGTGATGGCACCTGCTGGGTATGCATTGCCTCCTGGAGAGTCCATACCCTCTGTGTGAGAGAGACTGTGGGGCATCCCCTGCTATCATCAAGCTTAGCACTGTCTCATGTCACTGATCACCCAGCTTCAGAATCTAGTTGAAACCCAGCCACTTTGCTGATGGTATTACCTACCTGATAGCCATAAACCTCTGAGTGTGCTACTTATGGTTCCAGTCATCTAGGCCACTCAACCTTGTGGAAAGTATTGGAGATATTTTTAGTGATAAGATGCACAAATTAGTAATGTCAATGGTATTACTGCTGTAATGCAGCTGCTGGAGTGCAGTGGTGTGATCACAGCTGACTGCAGCCTTGAACTCCTGGACTGAAGTGATCCTTCTGCTTCAGCCTCCTGAGGAGCTGGGACTATAGATGCATCACCACTATATCTAGTTCATTTTTAAAATTTGTAGAGACAGGGTCTCAATATTGCCAGGGTGATGTTGAACTCCTGGCCTCAGACAATCCTCCTGCCTCATCCTCCCAAGGTGCGAGAAATGTAAGCGTGAACTATGGCAGTGGTGAATTCTTGTGCCTGCTAAGATTTTAGAGTTTATTAAAATAAAAGCTGCTTTTCTTTGGACATCCATGTCTAAAGAGGGTGCCATGTTTAAAAAGTTGCCAGATGGTCACATTTCTACTTGAGCAGCCTCTAGGCTGGCCATGTCCAGGCTGCTGATGTCCTAAAGAAGGATGAAGTGACAAGCCCAGCCCTGAGGAAATAGCTACCCTGAGTGTGTAACTGTAACATCTTTAAATGCACTATTCAGCCCTTTAGTTACCCAAAATAAAAGGTTTGGGTTTTAGGTATTTTTTTTTTAACTATGTTTTTGGCTGAAAAGTGATCATTTCCTTGTTCTCCTTTCCTTAACCACAACCTCATCTCTCTGGTAACCAGCCCCAGGTCCTGCTTGATCTTTGCTCTGCAGCAAGTCCTGATGCCAGACTTCAGAATTTTTATTCCTTACAGAAGCGGTATTTGCATACTGCTAGCTTGTATAAATACTCTTTTTTTAAAAAATCTTTTATTTATTTATTTTTTTTTTTGGTTGCAGTTTTTGTCTGGGTCTGAGCTTAAGCCCATAACCTCCAGTATATGGGGCCGGCACCCTACTTGAGCCAAAGGTGCCACACCTAAATACTCTTTTGATTCTATAAAACTTTATGTTGATAAATTAATCCCCACTTGTACCTGCATAAAGAAAATATGCTTTCTGTCATGTGACTAGATGCCTACGTGCATTTTGGTCATCACTAAGTAATTCCATCATGACTACTTTTATTTTTATTTATTTATGTTTTTGAGACAGAGTCTCACTATGTCACCCTCTGTAGAGTGTTGTGTTGTCACAGCTCACAGCAACCTCAAACTCTTGGCTTAAGCAATTCTCTTGCCTCAGCCTCAAGTAGCTGGGACTACAGGTGCCTGCCACAACACCTGGCTATTTTTTGGTTGCAGTTGTTACTAATGTTTAGCAGGCCCAGGCCAGGCTCAAACCTGCCAGCCTTGGTGTATGTGACTGGTGCCTTACTCACTGAGCTACAGGGACCAAGTCAATCACAGCTATTGGCCAGAGCTGGGTTTGAACCCGCTACCTCTGGCATATGGGGCCAGCGCCCTACTCCTTTGAGCCACAGGTGCTGCCACTTTTTTTTTTTTTTTTCGCAGTTTTTGGCTGGAGTGGGTTTGAACCTGCCACCTCTGGTATATGGGTATGAGGCCAACGCCCTACTCCTTTGAGCCACAGGCGCCGCCCTGATCACAGCTACTTTTAATGAATTCCTTACCTCAAGGTTTAGAATAGCTTTGTGAGGTCAGAGAGCAGAGTTTCACCTCAGCAGAGTTTAGAATTTCTGTGCCTCAGAGCTCTTAGCACTGGCACTGACTTTAAATCTAATACATTTTATTATTTTTTTTTTTTTTGAGACAGTCTCACTTTGTCACCCTCAGTAAAGTGCTGTGGCGTGATAGCTCACAACAACCTCCAGCTCTTGGGCTTAAGCAATTCTCTTGCCTCAGCCTCCCAAGTAGCTGTATTGCAGTTGTCATTTTTATTTTTTATTTTTTTGCAGTTTTTTGGCCAGGGCTGGGTTTAAACCCACCACCTGTGATATATGGGGCTGGCACCCTACTCCTTGAGCCACAGGTGCTGCTCCTGTCATTATTCTTTTAGCTGGCCCGGGCCAGGTTCAAACCCACCAGCCTCTTGTGTATGTGGCTGGTGCCATAACCACTGTGCTACGGGTGCTGAGCCAATACTTTTTATTATTGAAAGACACTTCTTGGCTGGGCACATGAAGCCTGCCTGGAATCACAGCACTCTGGGAGGCTAAGGCAGAGGATCCCTTGAGCTTATTATTATTTCCTGTCTTACAAATTGAGTGTCCATAGGAGGTAGTGTCCTCATTACATGAACACAGACCCAGTATTGGTTAGTATGTGCTACAAGGTAGATTCTGTCTATGGTGAGTATCCAAGGCTCACAGATTTCTCTTGATCCAGAAATTGTCCTTTAAAACTTAGATGGGTAGGCTGGGCACCCGTAGTTCAGGGGTTAAGGTCCCAGTCACATGCTCCAGGGCTGGTGGGTTGAGCCCTGCCTGGGCCTGCTAAACGAAAAAAAAAAAAAAAAAATAGGCTGTGTGGTGGGTGTCTGTAGTCCTAGCTACTAAGAAAGCTGAGGCAAGAGAATCAGTTGAGCCCAAGAGGTTGAGGTTACTGTGAGCCACGGCAATCTACTGAGGGTGACAAAGTGAGACTGTTTGTTTTTTAATTGTTGTTTTAATTAAAAAACAAACTTAGATGGGTGTATGTTGCTTAGGCATTAAAACATACTAGTAATTAAATGCAAAGCAGTGAAGCTGTTCCTGATTTCTCCATGAGTTTTTTTTTTTTTTTTTTTTGAGACAGCCTCAAGCTGTCTCCCTGGGTAGAGTGTCGTGGCATTACAGCTCACAGCAACCTCCAACTCCTGGGCTCAAGCGAGTCTCCTGCCTCCGCCTCCCAAGTAGCTGGGACTACAGGCGCCCGCCACAACGCCCGGCTATTTTTTGGTTGCAGCCGTCATTGTTGTTTGGCGGGTCCGGGCTGGGGATTCGAACCCGCCACCTTAGGTGTATGTGGCTGGCGCCTTAGCCAGTTGAGCTATAGGCGCCGAGCCTCCATGAGTTTTTTTTAATAGAGACAGTCTTACTTGGTCGCCCTCGGTAGAGTACTGTGGCATCAGTGCTCACAGCAACCTCCAGTCTTGGGCTTAGGTGATTCTTGCCTCAGCCTCCTGAGTAGCTGGGACTATAGGCGCCTGTCACAGAGCCTGGCTATGTTTTGTTGCAGTTTGGCCAGGGTTGGTTTTGAAGCCACCACCCTCAGTAGATGGGGCTGGTGCCCTACTCACTGAGCTACAGGTGCTACCCATTGTCATGAGTTTCTTAATAGCTGTTTTCTCACTATAGGCTCTACAGAGTCTCCACTGCCCCTGGAGAAGGAGGAGCAGGTCCGACTTCAGGCACAAAAGCAGCTGGAAGAGCAGCTCAAGCAATACAGAGTGAAGCGCCAGCAGGAGCGAGTGAGTGTCCTTGCCCTGAAAATGCTCATAGAAAGCCATGGGTGCTAGAGGCAGAGATTGGTCACATGTAGTTCTGGACTCTGATTTTCAAGCTGGGCTGGGCTCTGGGGCTCTGTGAACGCTGATGTGTTTTCCTGTCTTTGCAGAGAACACTAGGTGCGTGGTTATTGCCCCTCAATCAGGTACTGGTTCCTTTGGAATGACTGTATTTTATTCCCAAATATGCCATTTGAAAAGCAAAGAGCTGGGCCTGTAATCTTAGCACTTTGGGAGGCCAAGGTAGGAGGAGTGCCTGAGCTCAGGAGTTTGAGACCAGCCTCAGCAAGAGTGAGATCCCCCCATCTCTATTAAAAATAGAAAAATTGGTGGTACGTGTGGCTCAGTGAGTAGGGCGCTGGCCCCATATACCGAGGGTGGTGGGTTCAAACTCGGCCCTGGACAAACTGCAATAAAAAAATAGCTGGATGTTGTGGTGGGCGCCTATAGTCCCAGCTACTCAAGAGGCTGAGGCAAGAGAATTGCCTAAGTCCAAGAGCTGGAGGTTGCTGTGAGCTGTGATGCCGCGGCATTCTACCGAAGGTGACAAAGTGAGACTCTGTCTCTAAAAAATAAATAAATAAAAATAAAAATAGAAAAATTAGCCAGGTGGTGTGGTGAGTACCTAGAATCCCAGCTACATGGGAGGCTGAGGCAGGAGGATGGCTTGAGCCCAAGAGTTTGAGGTTACTGTGAGCTATAACACCATAGTGCTCTACCATGGCAACAGAATGAGACACTAAGTCTCAAAAAAAAAAAAAGGAAAAGAAAAGCAAAGAAATGCAGATACACCTGAGAGATTGCAGATGCCATTCACACCATCACAGTAAAGCATGTCATACAAACTTATTGTTTTCCCAGTACATATAGAAGTATGTTTATAGTGTACTATATGTTTATAGTAAGGGGTAGTATTATGTATAAGAAAAAGGTCTATATCATAATTTAAAATGCTTTGTTGCTAAAAATGGTAATGATTATCTGAGCCTTTCTGTTCATCCATATGAACTGACTCCTTCCTTGCAGGTGGAGGGTTTGGTCTTGATGTGATACTGCTGACTATTTTCGGGTGGGGTTGCTGAAGGTGGGTGGGCTGTGGCAAAGAAGATAGCTGTGAAATTTGCCGTATTGATTGACTCTTCCTTTCCCTCCCTCACAAAAGATTACTTTATAGCATGCAATGCCATTTCATACCATTTTATCAAGAGTAGAACTTTTTTGAAGATTGTAGTCAGTCCTCTGAAATTCTGCTGCTTTGTCAACTCAGTTTAAGTCATGTTCTAAATGATTTATTGTCATTTCAACAATGACATCTTTACCAGAAGTAAGGTTCCATCTCAAGGAACTGCTTTGCTCATCCATGTGAACTGACTTCTCATCTGTTCAAGTTTTTTCCTGAGATTGCAGCAATTCAATCTCATCTTCAGATTCCACTTCTAATTTTAGTTTTCTTGATACTTTTACCACATCTGTAGCTACGTCTTTCTCTAAAGTCTTGAACCCCTCAGTCATCCATGGGGGTTGGCATCAACTTCCTCAAAACTCCTTTTAATGTTAATATTTTGACCTCCTCCCGTGAATCACAAATGTTCTTAATGGCATCTAGAATGGTAACTCTTTTCCAGAAAATTTTCAGTTTACTTTGCTCAGATCCTTCAGATGAATCACTATCTATGGCAAATATAGCTTTATGAAATATATTAAGACTTGAAAGTCAAAATGACTCCTAGATCCATAGACTGCAGAATGGATGTTGTGTTAGAGGCATGAGAATAACACTCCTCTCTTTGTACCTCTCCAGCAGAACTCTTGGGTCACCAGATGCCTTATAAGTGAGCAGTTTGAAAGGATTCCCTTTTTATGAGCAGTAAATCTCAACAGGGGGCTTAAAATATTAAGTAAACCATGCTCATACAAATGTGCTGTCACCAGGCTTTGTGGTTCCATTTATAGAGCATAGGTAGAGTAGATTTGGTGTCATTCTTAAGGGTCCTTGGATTTTCAGAGTGGTCAATGAGTACTGGCTTCAACTTGAAGTCATCAGCTGCAGTGGCCCCTAACAAGAGTGTCAGCTTGTCCTTTGAAGCCAAGCATCAACCTCACTGCACTATGAAAGTACTAGGTGGCATCTTCTTTCAACAAAAGGCTGTTTCATCGGCCGGGTGCGGTGGCTCATGCCTATAATCCAAGCACTCTAGGAGGCTGAGGCAGGTGGATTGCTTGAGCTCACAGGTTCAAGACCAGCCTGAGCAAGAACGAGACTTCATCTCTAAAAATAAACGCTTATTCAAGGAATAAGTGGGCGCCTGTACTCCCACATGGGAGGCTGAGGCAAGAGAATCGCTTGAGCCCAAGAGTTTGAGGTTGCTATAAGGTATGATGGCACAGCATTCTACTGAGGGCAACAAAATGAGACTGTCTCAAAAAAACCCCAGACAACAACAACAACAAAAATGCTGTTTCATTTATACTGAAAATCTCTTGTTTGGTGTGGCCACCTCATCCAGGGATTTCTGCTAGATCTTCTGGATAAACTGCTGCAGCTTCTGCATCAGCACCTACTGTCTCACCTTGTACTTTATTTTATGTTAGGAAGATGGCTTCTTTCCTTAAACCTTATGAAGCAACCTCTGTTAGCTTCAGACTTTTCTTCTGCAGCTTCCTCACCTCTTTCAGCCTTTATAGCATTGAAGAGAATCAGGGACTTGCTGAGGATCAGGTTTTGGATTAGTGGAATATTGTAGCTGGTTTGATCTTCTGTAGAGACGATTTTCTCCACATTAACAATAAGGTGGTGTGATTTACCATTCGGGTGTTCTTTGGAGTAGCACTTTCAGTTTCCTTCAAGAACTTGTCCTTTGTATTGACAACAGGGGCCTAGTTCTCAGCCTGTCTCAGCTTTCAACTTGCCTTCTTCACTAATCTTAATTACTTCTAGCTTTTTTTTTTTTTTT